ATGAGCATGACATAGTGTTGTTATATGATGCTTGTGGCAATGAGTACGTATGTCAGCGTGACACAAACCTGAGCATGAGTTGCTACAGGGGTTGTAACCGCCTAGTCGTGTGAATATTAATTTCAATATTATACGTATGTAATAATAATATACTTTATATAATTAATATTATTATACATAAAACAAAATTTTATTTTTCATACCCTCACTTACATATAGCACTTTATATTTGCATCATATATTAAACAAAAAAAAAATATTTACAATAATGTACATACTTATAATCTACTTATTTCATACACTAATTATATGATATTTACATATCGGGTTGATATAAGTTCACTATTGGGTTAACATGATTGGTTGGAGGTAGATAAAAAGTGACTACTATTTGGCTATCTATGATAATAGGATTTTGCTGGGTTGGTGAAAATACAAAAGTCGATAATCCTATCCCCTGAAATGTAACGGCATTTGCAAATGCGTCCATGGCCCAACTGGTACCCGAAAAAATTGCAGTAATAACGGAAGTGAAAGGGCCTGGTACGATTGGTAGATCCATCTATTTTTCATATTTAATTAAATATTTTAAACAAGAAAAATAAGAAGTGAGAACAATTTTCAAAGAAATATAACATGCATAGCAATAGTTAATATTAGAAAATATATACAAAAATTTGAATTACACTTGCAGTGACTAGTCAGAATAAATGAGCATTATAATATCAACCAACTAAAGAATTTTTAATCTTAATTTCTTACTTATTTAAATCCCCAAGGTCAAACTTCCAGTTACAAATAACTCAAATTTTTATCTTCTATGGCCATAGAATAATATTTATCTTTAAAACGAGTCAAAGACATTTTAACAAAATTATATTATAGTCAATCATAAAAACAATCACGCTAAATAAATTTGAGTATTTATCATTATTTAAGCTTTAAATAAATAACATTTACGTAAATGAAATATATTAAGAGCACTAATCAAGTAAATGACAATTATAATCATTATAAAATAATTAAACAATATAAAATATGAACATCTTAATAATTATTATGGATAAAATAATCATAAGTTAAGCAAATAAATGAGGTTAGGGACACCTCACTAAACAAATATATATACAAAGTAACATAAATAAATAAACATAGTAGTATATAAAATTTTAAAGAGATAAAATTCTCCTCCCCCTTACCTTAGTAGAGATATAAAATTGTTCTAGAGATAACCTAAAATAGCCTCTTGCTTACGTGAGATCATGCATTGTGAAATCTATTATCCGTTTACTTACTCATTGATTTAATCTACATTATCTACTGCACCTATTATACACATATTCATAATGTCATATTATCTACTGCACCTCTACACATATTCTACACACACGTCACTACATACACACCACACATTATCTTTTGTTGTTTAATTTAATTACATTTAATTATATAAATTTATTTAAATTATTCTAATGTATAAAAATATATACAAGGCCATGGCAGAACTTGAACTTATGACCTGGAACTTATAATTCTTATACACAATCACTCAAACCACTAAACCATTTTATTTTATATGTCTATAGCCTCATACAAATTTATAATATCTTGTTTTTCGTATGTAATAATATTTATAATATAATTGGATATCACAGACACACACACACATACACACACACACACACACACATATATATATATATATATAGTTTAGAAATAAAACACTAGTTTTTTTATCTATTTATTTTAAATATACTAACTAAAATTTAAGAGTTTGATTTAAAATAATAATAATAATAAAATTATAAATATTAGATGATTCTATTTTATTAATTAGATCGTAATAATTATATAATTAGGAATAAATATTTTTTTTGTTTCACTAAAAATGTTGTAATAAAAATTTGATATATATATATATATATATATATATTGTGAAAATATTGTACTTATTCTCTATTATATATATATATATATATATATATTATAATAACTAAAAATTTCAATTACTATTTTAAGTATATTAATAATATTGAGAATATTGTTATTTAAAAGTTAAGACATTACAATTCTCCCCTACTTATAGAAATTTTGTCCTCAAAATTTTTTTATTGTTTAAAATAAATAAGGATAATTTTTCCTAATTTTCTCTTCCAGTTCCCACATAGCGTCTCTTGTGTCTTTATTCCAAATGACCTTTACCAATAAAATCTGTTTGCCTCTCTACTGCTTGATTCTCTTGTCTGTGATCTGTACAGGCATTGTTTCATATATAAGGTTATCCTTTAATTGTACCGTATCAGGTATTATTACATGAGAAGGATCAGAAATATATTTTCTTAATTAAGACACATGAAAGACATTGTGAAGATTAGAAAGAAAAGGAGGTAAAGAAATTTGGTAAGCTACAGGACCTATTTTTCTGAGAATTTGATAAGGACCAATAAATCGAGGTGTGAGTTTCTTTGATTTCATTACCCTACCAATTCTGGTTGTTGGTGTAACTTTCAAAAATACATGATCACCTTCCTGAAATTCAAGAGGTCGTCTTCTCCTATCAACATAACTTTTCTGTCTACTTTGAGTCGTTATTAATTTTTCCTGAATCATTTTGATTTTCTCCGTGGTTTGTTGCACCAATTCAGGGCCCAAGATTATATTTTCTCCTGTCTCAAACCAACACAAAGGAGTTCTGCACTTTCCTCCATATAGAGCTTCATAGGGTGCCATACCTATGCTAGAATGGAAACTGTTGTTATAAGTGAATTCAATTAGAGGTAGATATTGATCCCAACTACCAGAATTCTCTAGCACACAAGCTCTCAATAAATCTTCTAAGGATTGAATGGTCCTTTCTGATTGTCCGTTTGTTTGAGGATGATATGCATAACTAAGGCGAAGCTTAGTTCCTAATGCTTGATGTAAACTTCCCCAAAATTTAGAAGTGAATCTAGGATCTCTATCAGATATTATGCTAGATGGTACACCATGCAGCCGTACAATCTCCCTTATGTACAGTTCAGTCAATTTTTCTAGTGAATACCTAATGTTGATGGCTAAGAAATGAGCAGATTTTGTTAGTCTATCGACGATTACTCATATGGAATCAAACTTATGTGTTGTTCATGGTAAATCAACTACAAAATCCATTGCTATGCTGTCCTATTTCCATTCAGGTATATCTAAGGGTTGTAACATTTTTGCTGGTTTTTGTTGTTCTATCTTGGTCTTCTGACAAATCAAACATGTAGCTACATATTGTGCTACTTCCCTTTTCATTTTAGGCCACCAAAACATTATCTTGAGATCCTGATACATTTTTGTTGCCCCAGGGTGTATACTCAACTTGCTCTTATGTGCCTCACCTAGAATTATTTTCTTAATTTCTGAATCATTGGGTACACATATCCTATCATTAAATCTCAAAACTCCTCTTTGATCTATATTAAACTTTTCACCATCTTTTTGTCCCAACAATCTCTTTTTCTTTTGAATGAATTTATCAACTACGTGAGCCTCACCAATTTGTCCATGTAAGTCACTAGTAATTTGAACTGCATGCAATTGTATTCTATCCTGACTTACTGTAGTTGATAAATTCATATCTCTAAATTTTTCTATCAAATTCATCTTATGAATCATTAGTGAAGAGATGTGTAAAGATTTTCTACTCAGTGCATCAGCCACAACATTGGCTTTTCCTGGATGGTAATGTAATTCAAAATCATAATCTTTCAAAAATTCCATCCACCTTCTTTGTCTCATATTCAGTTCCCTTTGATCAAACAAATATTTTAAACTCTTATGATCACTAAAAACATCAAACTTACCACCATACACATAATGTCTCCATATTTTGAGTGCAAAAACAATGGCAGCTAGTTCTAGATCATGGGTTGGACAATTCTTTTCATGAGCTCTCAATTGTCTAGAAGCATATGCTACTACCCTTCTATCTTGCATAAGAACACACCCTAATCCAATTTTTGAGGCATCACAAAATATGACAAATTGTCCATTAAGATTGGGTAAGGCTAAGACTGGTGTGGTGATTAATCTTTTCTTAAGCTCTTGAAAACTATTCTCACATTTTTCTGTCCACTCAAAGAGTTGCCCTTTCTTAGTGAGTTGAGTTAAAGGCATGGCTATTTTAGAAAATCCCTCAATGAATCTCCTATAATATCCTGCTAAACCCAAAAAACTACGAATTTCTGTCACTGTCTTTGGAGGTTCCCATAACAGAACTGCTTCTACTTTAGACGGATCCACAAACACTCTGTCTTTGGAAATCACGTCCTAAAAATTTAACCTCCTCTAACCAAAATTCACACTTAGAAAGTTTGGCATACAATTGTTTATCTTTCAGGATTTGAAGAATAGTTTGAAGGTTTTCTTCATGCTGCTCATGAGTTCAAGAATATATGAGGATATTATCTATAAAGACCACCACAAAATGGTCTGAATATGGACGAAAAATCCTATTCATATAATCCATGAACACTGCAGGTGCATTGGTTACTCCAAAAGGCATCACTTGATATTCATAATGACCATACCTTGTTCTAAATGCAGTTTTCTATATGTCTTCTGCTTTCACTTTGATTTGATGGTATCCTGATCTTAAATTTATCTTAGAAAACACAGTGGCTCCTCTCAATTGATCCATCAAATCATCTATCCTAGGAAGAGGGTATTTATTCTTTATGGTAAACTTATTTAATTGACGATAGTCTACACACAACCTAAAACTTCCATCTTTCTTTTTAACTAACAAAACAGGAGCCCCCCAAGGTGATACACTAGGGCGTATGAATTGTTTTTCAAGCAACTCTTCTAATTGTTTCTTCAACTCAACTAATTCAGAAGGTGACATCCTATAAGGTGCCATTGAAATTGGTACAGTTCCAGGCATTAAATCAAATAAAAAAATTCAATCTCTCTGTTAGGTGGCAAACCAAGAATATCATTAGGGAAAACTTCAGGAAAATTTTGAACAACAACTATTTTTTCAAGTCGACTTCCTCTTTAGCTTCCATAAAGGACAAGATTAAATATCCTTGAACTTTACCCCAAGAAAACTTGGGTATTGGTTTGGATAATGAAATTGATAGGTCCTTAGAATCAGAAAACCTTATAGACTTTTCGGCACAATTGAGAAAGACATGGTTGGAAGATAACCAGTCCATACCTAAAATCACATCCAGTTGTGATAAAGGTAGGCAGATCAAATTTACAATAAATTTTCTATCACCAATAAAAATAGGGCAATTTAAACAAACTTTATTGGCAATTATAGATTCATTTGTAGGTGTCGAAACAATTAGATTAGTCTCTAAAGAAGAAACTGACAATTGAAGGTGTTGAATGCAATCATTGGAGATAAAAGAATGAGTTGCGCCTGAATCATACAGTATATTCAAAGTTTTGCCTTTAATGAAACATTTACCTTGTATTAGATCATTATTTTGACCAGCTTCAGCTCTGGTCATGGTATAAACTCTCCTAGTTGTCAAAGGTCTTGGTTTGGGTCCAGAAGTATTCGCGTCCGCCTTTGGTTGTCCACACTCAGAAAACACATGACCAGGCTTTCCACACTTGAAACAAACAGGTCCTTTGAGATGAAAGTCTTTAGTATAATGGCCCTGTCCACACTTAAGATACTTAGCTTGATTATTCATGGGTCTACTGGAATTTCCTGCAAATTGAGAAGATTGGGGTTTTCCTTGAGGTCGATCATAAGGTTTTCCTTGATTATTCCTTTTGTTGTTAAACTGAGGACCAAACGCTTTTGGTGTGTTATCCTTATTGTGATCAAAACCTTCTAGAAAATGACACTTGTGTATTAATGTGGGAAAATCAGAAAGTTCAAATATTCCTACTGCCTTTTTTAATTCTGGTCTAAGTTCATCCTCAAATTTAATACACTTCATCCTCTCATCAAGGTGATAAAAGAAAGTATAATATTTTCCTAATTCCTCAAACTTAGAAGCATATTCTCCCACTATCATGTTCCATTGTTTTAATTGCATAAATTTTATTTCTTTAGCCCTCCTAACATCATTAGGAAAATATTTTTCATAAAATTTAGCTCTAAATACTTCCCATGTAATAATTATTCCTCCTCCTTCTAATAGTCTTCTAGTACTATCCCACCAATATTCTGCTTCTCCTACTAACATAAACACTGCATAATTTACTTTTTGGTTATCAGGACAGTTCATGGCTCAGAATATCTTTTCTATTTCTTTAATCCATAATTCAGCCTTTTCAGGATTATACCCTCCGTCAAATTGGAAAGTTTTATTTCTCATAAATTCAACTAATCCTTGTGACTCCCCCATTCCTTCCGGTTGTTGATTCCTTAACAAGGCTGCAGCCATGTCTTTAATAGCTTTCACAGCCTCTATCAGTTCTGTGTTTCTTCTTCCTGCCATCTGAAATTTTTATGGATTAGTTTACCATACTAGAAACATGGTTAGCACATTTCCCCAAGTTACACACGGAACGTTGCTTTGATACCACTAAATTGTAACCGCCTAGTCGTGTGAATATTAATTTCAATATTATACGTATGTAATAATAATATACTTTATATAATTAATATTATTATACATAAAACAAAATTTTATTTTTCATACCCTCACTTACATATAACACTTTATATTTGCATCATATATTAAACAAAAAAAATATTTACAATAATGTACATACTTATAATCTACTTATTTCCTACACTAATTATATGATATTTTCATATCGGGTTGATATAAGTTCACTATTGGGTTAACATGATTGGTTGGAGGTAGATAAAAAGTGACTACTATTTGGCCATCTATGATAACATAATTTTACTGGGTTGGTGAAAATACAAAAGTTGATAATCCTATCCCCTGAAATGTAATGGCATTTGTAGATGCGTCCATGGCCCAACTGGTACCCAGAAAAATTGCAGTAATAACGGAAGTGAAAGGGCCTAGTACGATCGGTAGATCCATCTATTTTTCATATTTAATTAAATATTTTAAACAAGAAAAATGAGAAGTGAGAACAATTTTCAAAGAAATATAACATGCGTAGCAATAGTTAATATTAGAAAATATATATAAAAATTTGAATTACACTTGCAGTGACTAGCTAGGATAAATGAACATTATAATATCAACCAACAAAAGGATTTTTAATCTTAATTCCTTACTCATTTAAATCCCCAAGGTCAAACCTCCAGCTACAAATAATTTAAATTTTTATATTCTATGACCATAGAATAATATTTATCTTTAAAACGAGTCAAAGATATTTTAACAAAATTATATTATAGTCAATCATAAAAACAATCACGCTAAATAAATTTGAGTATTTATCATTATTTAAGCTTTAAATAAATAACATTTACGTAAATGAAATATATTAAGAGCACTAATCAAGTAAATGACAATGATAATCATTATAAAATAATTAAACAATATAAAATATGAACATCTTAATAATTATTATGGATAAAATAATCATAGGTTAAGCAAATAAATGAGGTTAGAGATAACCTAAATTATCCGTTTACTGCACCTCTACACATATGTCACTACATACACACCACATTAATTGCACACATTATCTTTTGTTGTTTAATTTAATTACATTTAATTATACAAATTTATTTAAATTATTCTAATATATAAAAATATATACAAGGTCATGGTAGGCCTTGAACCTCTAACCTGGAACTTGTAGTTCTTATACACAATCACTCAAACCACTGAACCATTTTATTTTATATATCTATAGCCTCATACAAATTTATAATATGTTATTTTTCGTATGTAATAATATTTATAATATAATTGAATATCACACACACACGCGCGCGCACACACACACACACATATATATATATATAGTTTAGAAATAAAACACTAGTTTTTTATCTATTTATTTTAAATATACTAACTAAAATTTAAGAGTTTGATTTAAAATAATAATAATAATAAAATTATAAATATTAGATGATTCTATTTTATTAATTAGATCATAATAATTATATAATTAGGAATAAATAATTTTTTTTATTTCACTAAAAATGTTATAATAAAAATTTGATATATACATATATATATATATTGTGAAAATATTGTACTTATTCTCTATTATATATATATATATATATATATATATTATAATAACTAAATTTCAATTACTATTTTAAGAAGAGTATACTAATATTATTGAGAATATTGTTATCTAAAAATTAAGACATTGCAGGGGTGGCGTGAGCATGACATAGTGGTGATTGTGTGATGATAGTGTATATGTATGATTGAGATTTGATGATGGAATGTTGACTTATTATCAATAGAACTTGACATGTATGAACCTGATAGAATTTGTAGTTGTATAATGAGTTGTAATGGAAATTATGTTGTGGCGTTTCTTTGTATGCTTTACATATAAATGTCTTCTTTTCTCACCGTATATTTTGTAGTTGTTTTTAGGTGAGAAAGTTACGAACATGAGTGACATTCAAGGTGACAATAGTCGAGTCATGGGATTGCTTTGATAATGTGACATCGGGACAAGGGTTTTAGAACGTTAATTTCATTGTTATTGGAGTTTATACTCCTTTGTTAGTTAAATTTGTGAACTTATATTTTATAAATATTTGTTTTAAATCCTTTGGATATTGAGAGTATTTTAATTATGGACCATTTTAACCAAGTTGGAGAATTATTTCTTTATATTTTTATAAAGTATCTAATAGTTTAAGATTACATTAAATTAGTTTGAGGAGGGTTCAAACGACACCGGTTTGATTTTTACTAAGTATTACACCACTCAATAACTTTATATTAAATGTGAATTTTGTAAATCCAACTGTTGAATTATAAAATTAATATAATTTTATATATTTATATAAAATTTTGTTAAAATTGAACAATCACTTAAAGGTAATCAAAGTGTTCATATTTTAGTATATTTTGAAATGTATATATTACATCAATTTTGTTTTATTAGAATGAAGTATCGAATCATCTTTGATTAATATAAAATTGTGTATATATGATCTAAGAGTAAAAAACTTTTAATTTAACGGTTGAATTTACAAAATTTACATTTAATATAAAGTTATTGAGTGGTGTAATACTTGGTAAAAGTTATACCGGTATTATTATAATCTTATATATATATGAGGAAGGTTCAAACGACACCGATGTAACTTTTACTAAATATCACACCGCTCAATAACACCGACATAACTTTTACTAAATATCACACCGTTCAATAACTTTATATTAGATGTGAATTTTGTAAATCTAACCATTAGATTGAAAGTTCTTAACTCTTAGATCGTATGTACAAAATTTCATATTAATCTAAGATAATTTGATACTTCATTCTTATAAAACAAAATTGATGTAATATATACATTTCAAAATATAATAAAATATGAACACTTTGATTACCTTCAATTTGTTGTTCAATTTTAACAAAATTTGATATAAACATATAAAGTGATAAGAATTTTCAATCTAGCGGTTAGATTTACAAAATTCACATTTAATATAAAGTTATTAAATGGTATAATATTCAGTAAAAGTTATACCGATATTATTATAACCTTCTTCATATATATATATATATATATATATATATATATATATATATATATA